GCACAGCCGGGCGCGGGCAGCCAATGCGGCCAATCAGGCCACAAGAGAACGCATGACTTACAATCCCTTAAAAGCCAACATTCCCTAGCAAACAGGGAGAGTGGCATAATACACACGGACACGCTAGTCCGCTCCCAATGCCGGACTTGCCCCGAGGCGGGACAAAGAGCGCGCTGGAGATTAACCAGCGGCAACAGCCATCCGAGACAGCATCTCCGGGTTTTTTCACAAAATAAACCCTCCTCCGTGTGGATTCCTGAATTATGCCCTTCTCATGGTGTTCTTCCTGGGGGATTCCAACAGGGCGTAATTCGACGATGACACACGTCAGATGTCATCGGTTTAACACTAGCGACGCTGAACCCGTTGTTATAACACTATTTCCTGGGCTATCTATCTGCAAATACAAGCCAATTGCGTTTCTACGTCGTCATCTGCCTTTCAATCAAGAAAAAGAGCAAGGATATTACACCAGGGTCCTTGGCTCCTGTTTCAGAACCTATAAGTCGATGGAATAACTGCCATACTTATTCGTATAAACTGCCATACTTGTTTTAGCATTCCCTCTATGTCAGGTGGACAACATGAACAAAACGGCATGCGGTTTAATAATTACTGTTTTTATCAAGTTTAATTAACACTAGCATAGAATATATATTTTGATAAAAAACGTCTTGGGTCACTCATTCAGCCCAAAATTTCGCTAAATCAGCAATTCCACTGTTTTTGTAAAAAAACAGTCAATTTAAAGTCATGCAAACGTGCTCTTAAAACTCTTTTTGTGTTTTCCATCTAACCAAAAGCCATCCGTTATTAATTGCAATTCCAATCAATGCTGTGTTATGCTGGCTGTCTATTGATTATACGTTACGGCCTAAAATGCATGTAGCATGAAGGCATATGCGAAAAATTGATACTCTTTCTCTAAACAACATCGTCTAAGGTTGTTATAGTGAATATCATCATCTTAAGCCAACCTATTAACTGACCTTTTTCTGAGAGCTAAAAAAGAATGTAATGTGAATAGTAGGTTGCAGTTTTATCATTAATTTTGCCTGCCTCTAGAAATTCCAATATATTTTATGGAAAACATACACGCAAAAATTTCTTCCTGTAACCGTCGGGTAGAATAGTATGCTCTCTTTGAATTCCATACTTATAGAAAGGCTATCTTTTGGCCTTAAAAGTTTCTTAATTGCCTAATAAGTTTTAAACCTGCTGACCGCTACACGTGAATTCAAGGTTTACAAACTGCGCGTTGTTTAAAGCATGTTTTAGTAAAAGTACGCTTTCGCCGATAGTTTGAGGAAGAAGTCACATAGCCCCCATAAAATATTGCAAAAGATGTAGAAAATGCTGTTTACGTTATGAATAGCATGAATAAATTTAGGGATACGATACATTTTCTCAAAACCGAAAGCTAACCCTACTTAAGTCTAACATTTAAGGAAGTCGTAGTTAGCGAAAAAACGCTTACAAGACATAATTATTTAGTGTATGCTTTTCGTTAGGCATGCTTGAATTTATAGAGGCAGTCAAAATCAATGACAAAAATGCATACTGCTTAAATAGCCACTTTTAACAGCACATCAGTTTTGTATGCGGTGAGAACGAAGCTTTTTTAAAAGCCTGCATCTTATCGCGACTGAAAGGACTGCAGAATAGATTACATGCTAATCAGTGTTACGTAGATTTTATGATTTTCGCATCTACGTTGGTCAATCGACTCTGTTTCTATTTTCTAGTGCACAAATGCA